CGCCCCCGCGCCGTGAGGAGCCGCCGCGGCCGCGCTCGCCGCCGCCGCCGCCATGGGGGTGAGTTGGGGCCTGGCCTGGCCGGGGCGGGCGGGTCCTTTGGGGCCAGCCGAGAGGATTGGGGGGGAAGGGGGGGGGCTCCTACGAGGAGTTAAGGGGCACCTACGAGGGTTTTTAGGACGCTATGAGGGGTTTTAGGATCCTCCGAGGGGTTTGGGGGCTCCTCTGAGGAGATACGGGGCCTCTATGAGGGGATTTGGGACTCTCCGAGGTGTTTGGAGGCTCCTCTGAGGAGATTCGGGGCCTCTATGAGGGGTTTTAGGACCCTCCGAGGTGTTTGGGTCTCCTCTAAGGAGATACAGGGCCTCTACGAGGGGTTTGGGGGCTCCTCTGAGGAGATTCGGGGCCTCTATGAGGGGATTTGGGACCCTCCGAGGGGTTTGGGGGCTTCTCTGAGGAGATATGGGGCCTCTATGAGGGGATCTGGGACACTCCGAGGGGGTTGGGGGCTTTTATGAGGAGAATAAGGGGATTTGAGCCCCTCCGAGGGAATTTGGGGCTCCTGTGAGGAGGCTTGTGACCTTTGCTTGGGATTTGGGGCCATCTGAGGACATTTGGGGCTCCTGTGAGGATGTTTGGGGCTCTATAAGAAGACTGGGGGCTCCTGAGAGGAGTTTTGGGGCCTTGTAAGAGTATTAGGGGCTCCTGTGGAGAGATTTGGGACTTTTTGTGGGGACTGGGGGCTCCTGTGGGGAAATTTAGGACCTTTTGTGTGTATTTGGGGCTCCTGTGAGGAGACTTAGTTCCCTCCGAGGGACTTTGGAGTTTCTTGTGAGGAGTTTGGGGACTTTTTGTGGGGATTTGGGGCTCCCATCAGGAAATGTGGGACCCTCTGGGGGGCTGGAGGGAGATGGGGGGCGCTTTGAGAGGGGATTTGGGGTTATTTAGAGGAATTTCAGGTTTTCAGGAGGGTTTTTGGGGGTCCCTGTGGGGACACTGAGGGACCCCAGAGACCTCACCCCATTTCCTGTTTAACCACAGACCCCAATTGCCAGGAAACCAGCAGGTTTTCCCCTAAAATGAGCCGAAACCGGAGATTTTTAGTGTCTGCATCTCAGCCGGCAGCAGGTGGGGGGAGAAAAAACACTGCTCCAACTCCCAAAAGGCTTTGATTTCCTCCCAAAACACCAACAGGTGTATTTTGGGGGGAGGCTCGCCCTGTCCTGTTCCCCAAACAACATGCATCAAGTGGGTTTTTTTAATTTATTTTCTGTAAAATACTCACTTTTGGAGGTTTTTAACTTAGTTTTGAGGGAGGTGAAGCTCAGGAATCCCCTGATCCCCTTTGACGTCCTGCTGGTCGTTGGGGTTTGCTGTGGATTTGGAGGGATCCCAGTGGGATTATGGGGCTCCCCTCCTTCATTTTGGGGTAAAATCACCTACCTTTGGGTGCTTTCTGCCCGTGGACTCCTAAAGTTCAAGAGAAAGAAACGCTTAAAAGCTTAAAAATAACTTTAAAGTGGATGCTGCTCAGCGCCACCTCCCCATCCTGATGTGTCTAACGAGTGCTGGCTTCATTAAAACACCAACGATTTTGGGGCAAAACCCTGTTAATTTAATTGCAGCAAAGCTTTCCCACTCCCACAGTGAGCAGGAGGGTTCAACATCCCCCCGTGTGCTCATCAAAACATTGTTTTTTACCCTAAAATCACTTTTTTCCCTAACCCCACTCCTCACCTGCTGCTTGCCTGGTTTTTCCTTCTCTGGGGGCTTTAAATATTATTAATTTTTAAAAACTTTTTTGCCGTTGCTGGCAGAGCTTTCTTATTTGTTAAAAACCATCTAGATTTAGTGAAATATTTTTTTTTGATGCTTTTTGCCACAGAGGAAATCGAGCAAAGCCAAGGAGAAGAAGCAGAAGCGCCTGGAGGAGCGAGCGGCCATGGACGCCGTCTGCGCCAAGGTGGAAGCTGCCAACAAAGTGAGTGTCCCCCCCCTTGAAAAACTGGGCTAAAACCCCCTGGAATGGGTACAAAAAAAACCCCAAAAAAACCCAAAACCCTCCCTCATTGCTGAGCGGGAGCGAAACATTCCCTGCTTGGTTTTTTGGGGTTGGGTTGGTTGGGTTTTTGGGGTGGGTTTGGTTGGGTTTTTGGGGGGTTGGGTTGGTTGGGTTTTTGGGGTTTGGGTGGTGTTTTTGGGGGTGGGTTTGGGTGGTGTTTTTGGGGTGGGTTTGGGTGGTGTTTTTGGGGTCTGGTTGGGTTTTTTTGGGGCTGGTTGGTTGGGTTTTTTTGGGGTTGGTTGGTTGGGTTTTTTTGGGGTTGGTTGGTTGGGTTTTTTTGGGGTTGGTTGGTTGGGTTTTTTTGGGGTTGGTTGGTTGGGTTTTGGGGGTTTGGTTGGGTTGGTTTTTGGGGTTGGTTGGGTTTTTTGGGGGTTGGGTTGGTTGGTTGGTTTTTTGGGGTTGGTTTGGTGGGTTTTTTGGGTTGGTTTGGTGGGTTTTTTGGGTTGGTTTGGTTGGGTTTTTTGGGGGTTTTTGTTGGGTTTTTTGGGTTGGTTTGGTGGGGTTTTGGGGTTGGTTTGGTTGGGTTTTTTGGGGTTTGGTTGGTTGAGTTTTTGGTTTTTTTTGTTGGGTTTTTTGGGGGTTGGTTGGGTTGGGTTTTTGGGGGTTGGGTTGGGTTTTTGGGGGTTGAGTTGGTGGGCTTTTTGGGTTGGGTTGGTGGGTTTTTGGGGTTTGGTTGGTTGGGTGTTTTTGGGGTTTGGTTGGTTGGGTGTTTTTGGGGTTTGGTTGGTGGGTTTTTGGGGTTTGGTTGGTTGGTTTTTTGGGTTTTTTTGTTTTTGTTTTTCCGGGGTGTTGTTTAATTTCTTCCAGCTTGAAGATCCCCTGGAAGCTTTCCCAGTTTTTAAGAAATATGACCGGAATGGGTGAGTGTTGCCTGTCGTGGTGTCACCGAGGCCCCTTTTTTTTTAAAACCCCGGTGTCTCCGGTGGGTTTTCCCGCTGCCGATGCCGTTTCCCTCCCAAAATTTCCCCCCCTCCCCCAGTTTGAACGTCGTCATCGAATGCAAACGAGTCTCCGGGCTGGAACCCGCCACCCTCGACTGGGCCTTCGACCTCACCAAGGCCAACATGCAGACGCTGTGAGTTGGGGAGGGGGGGGAAATGGTTGGCGTCCCAAATCGTTGGGGTTTTGCCCCAAAAATTGTTGGGGTTTTGCCCTCAATCTAGAATCGTTGGGGTTTTGGTCCCCCCAAAAATCGTTGGGGTTTTGCCCCAAGAATCGTTGGGTTTTTTTGTCCCCCCTGAAATCGTTGGGGGTTTTTGCCCCAAGAATCGTTGAGGTTTTGGTCCCCCCAAAATCGTTGGGGTTTTGCCCCAAAATTGTTGGGTTTTGGCCTCCCAAAATAGTAGGGGTTTTGCCCCAAGAATCGTTGGGTTTTTTTGTCCCCCCCCAAAATCATTGAGGCTTTGGTCCCCCCAAAAATCGTTGGGGGTTTGCTCCTAGAATTGTTGAGGTTTTGGTCCCCCCAAGAATCGTTGAGGTTTTGCCCCAAAAATCGATGCGGTTTTGCCCCTAGAATTGTTGAGGTTTTGGTTCCCCCCAAAATCGTTGGGGTTTTGCCCCAAAATTGTTGGGGTTTTGGCCTCCCAAAATAGTAGGGTTATTGCCCCCCAAAAATCGTTGGGGTTTTGCCCCTAGAATCGTTGAGGTTTTGGCCCCCCCAAAATCGTTGGGGTTTTGCCCCAAAATTGTTGGGTTTTGGTCCTCCCAAAATAGTAGGGGTTTTGCCCCAAAAATCGTTGGGGTTTTGCTTCTAGAATCGTTGAGGTTTTGCCCCAAGAATCGTTGAGGTTTTGCCCCTAGAATTGTTGAGGTTTTGGTCCCCCCAAAAATCGTTGGGGGGTTTTTGCCCCAAGAATCGTTGGGGTTTTTTGTCCCCCCTGAAATCGTTGGGGGTTTTGGTCCCCCCAAGAATCGTTGGGGTTTTGCCTCAAAATTGTTGGGGTTTTGGCCTCCCAAAATAGTAGGGGTTTTGCCCCAAGAATTGTTGGGGGTTTTGGTCCACCCCAAAATCGTTGGGGTTTTGGCCAACCAAAATAAGTAGGGGTTTTGGCCTCCCAAAATCGTTGAGGTTTTGCCCCAAAATTGTTGGGGTTTTGGCCTCCCAAAATAGTAGGGGTTTTGCCCCAGAAATCGTAGGGGTTTTGCCCCAAGAATTATTGAGGTTTTGCCCCAGAAATGGTTGGTCTTTTTGCGCCAAAATCGTTGAGTTTTTGCCCAAGAATCGTTGGGGTTTTGCCCCAGAAATTGTTGAGTTTCTACCCCAATTTTTTTTTTTTTGTCTCCAATTTGTGACATTTTATTTTTATTTATATTGTGGCATCCAATTATTTGGGATTTGGGGTTGGCTTTTTTCTCTTGAATTTGTGGGCTTTTCCCTCCAATTTGTGGAATTTGGGGATTTTTTTTTGCCTCAAATTTGTGGAATTTGGGGGGGTTTTGTCTCCAATTTGTTGCAGTTTTGGGGGTGGTTTTGCCTCCAATTTGTGGCATTTTGGGATTTTTTTGCCTCCAATTTGTGGAATTTTGGTATTTTTTTGCCTCCAATTTGTTGCAATTTTGGGATTTTTTTGCCTCCAATTTGTGGAATTTTGGTATTTTTTTGCCTCCAATTTGTTGCAATTTTGGGATTTTTTTGCCTCCAATTTGTGGCATTTTAGAATTTTTTTTGCCTCCAATTTGTGGGATTTGGGGGGGGTTGCCTCCAATTTGTGGGATTTGGGGATTTTTTTTTTGCCTCCAATTTGTGGGATTTGGGGATTTTTTTGCCTCCAATTTGTGGGATTTGGGGATTTTTTTGCCTCTAATTTGTTTGGGTTTTGGGGGGTTTTTGCCTCCAATTTGGGGGGGTTTTGCCCCTAGTTTGTTGCAATTTTGGGATTGTTTTGCCTCCGATTTGTGGCATTTTGGGATTTTTTTGCCTCCAATTTGTGGGATTTGGGGATTTTTTGGCCTCTAATTTGTTTGGGTTTTGGGGTTTTTTTGCCTCCAATTTGGGGGGGTTTTGCCCCTAGTTTGTTGCAATTTGGGGATTGTTTTGCCCTCAATTTGTGGCATTTGGGGATTTTTTTGCCTCCAATTTGTTGCAATTTGGGATTTCTTTGCCTCCAATTTGTAGGATTTGAGCTTTTTTCCCCCCCATCGCTGGGCTTTGTTTTTTCCCCCCTGTGAAGTCCTTGTGTGGATTTTTCCCTCCAACCATTAGTAGATTTTGCCCCCAAATCTTTGGTTTTTCTCCCCAAACCCTGGTTCAGGTACGAGCAGAGCGAGTGGGGCTGGAAGGAACGGGAGAAACGGGAGGAACTTCGGGACGAACGAGCCTGGTACCTCATCGCCCGCGACCCCAGCGCCGCCCCCGTCGCCTTCTCCCACTTCCGCTTCGACGTCGAGTGCGGCGACGAGGTCCTCTACTGGTGGGTAACCCCTCCAAAATTGGGTCAAAAAACCTCCAAAAAAAGGTTCGGCGCCACCGGTTGGGAGAGATGAAGGGAAGGCGGTGGGTGGTGTCTACCTTGAGTTCATGACACCTTGAAAACTGGCTGAAGGACACATCTCAGAGGGTTGTGACCAGCGTCGTGGAGTCCAGTTGAAGGTCCTTGACCATTGGTGTCCTCCAGGGGGTTGGTCCTCTTCATGAAGAGGATGAAGGGATGGAATGTCCCCTCAGTGAGTTGGCTGGTGGCACCAAACTGGGAGGGGTGGTAATGGTGGCACCAAACTGGGAGGGGTGGTTGGTGGCACCAAACTGGAAGGGGTGGTTGATGCCACCAGAAAGTTGGACCACCCTTCTGTGAGGAGACCAGGAGAGTTGGGTGGAGAGGAACCTGATGAAGTTCCACCAAGGGCAAGCGTAGGGTGCTGCACCTGGGGAGGAGCAACCCCCTCCACCCCATCCATTTTGGGGGTGATCTGGTGGAGAGCAGCTCTGAGGAGTCCTGGTGGCCAACGAGGATGCCCACGAGCCAACGATGGGCCCTGGTGGCCAAGAAAAGGCCAATGGTCTCCTTGGAGGTGGGGGGAGAACATCAAGAAGAGCATGGAGAACCTCAAGGGAGGTCACCCTCCCGGCTCTGCTCTGCTCTGGGGAGGTCCCATCTGGAGAACTGGGACCAGTTCAGGGCTCCCCCAGTTCCAGAAGGACGGGGAGCTGCTGGAGAGGGTCCAGCAGAGGTTGTGAGGATGATGAAGGTCTGGAGCATCTCTCTGCTGAGGAGAGGCTGAAGAACTTGGGTTTTTTTTCAATCTGGAGAAGATTGAGGAGGGATTTCATCGATGCTTCTAAATACTTGAAGGGGGTGGGGTGGGGATGGTCTTTTTCCAGTGATTCCCAGTTACAGGTCGAGGTGGGATTTTAATCCATTTTCTGGGGATTATGTCCATTTTCTGGGGTTTTGAACCCATTTTCCAGTGGTTTGTAACTGTTTTTGTCATTTTTGAACCCCTTTTCTGGGGGTTTTGAACCCATTTTCTGGGGGCTTTGCCTGTTTTCTTGGGTTTTGAACCCATTTTCCAGGGATTTTTAACATCTTTTAATCCATTTTCTGGGGATTATGTCCATTTTCTGGGGCTTTGAACTGATTATTCCAGTGGTTTGTAACCGTTTTTGTCATTTTTGTACCCATTTTCAAGTGGTTTTGCTCTTTTTGTGGGGGCTTAGAACCCATTTTCAAGTGGTTTTTAACCGTTTTTGTCATTTTTGAACCACTTTTCTGGGGTGTTTTAACCCCTTTTCGGGGTTTTGCCTGTTTTCTGGGGTTTTGAACCCATTTTCCAGGGGTTTCTAACCATTTTTTAATCTGTTTTCTGGGGATTATGTCCATTTTCTGGGGCTTTGAACTGATTTTTCCAGGGGTTTGTAACCATTTTTTGTCATTTTTGAACCCCTTTTCTATGGGTTTTGAACCCATTTTCAGGGTTTTTGCCTGTTTTCTGCGGTTTTGAACCCATTTTCCAGGGATTTTTAACCACTTTTTAATCCGTTTTCTGGGGATTATGTCCATTTTCTGGAGCTTTGAACCGATTTTTCCAGGGGTTTTGAACCACTTTTGTCATTTTTTAACCCATTTTTGAGAGTTATTGCTCTTTTTCCAGAGTTTTGAACCCATTTTCCAGTGGTTTGTAACCATTTTTTGTCATTTTTGAACCCATTTTCTGGGGGTTTTGCCCCTTTTCTGGGGTTTTTTAACCCCTTTTCGGGGTTTTGCCTGTTTTCTGGGGTTTTGAACCCATTTTCCAGGTTTTTTTAACCATTTTTAAATCAATTTTCTGAGGATTATGTCCGTTTTTTGGGGCTTTGAACCCATTTTTCCAGGGGTTTTGAACCACTTTTGTCATTTTTGAACCCATTTTTGAGGGTTTTTGCTCTTTTTCCAGAGTTTTGAACCCATTTTCCAGGGCTTTTAAACTATTTCTGTCATTTTTGAACCCATTTTCCAGGGGTTTTTAACTATTTCTGTCATTTTTTAACCCATTTACAAGGGGTTTTGCCCCTTTTCTGGGGTTTTTGAACCCATTTTCAGGGTTTTGCCTGTTTTCTGGGGTTTTGAACCCATTTTCCAGGGTTTTTTAGCCATTTTTTAATCCATTTTCTGGGGATTATGTCCATTTTCTGGGCCTTTGAACCCATTTTTCCAGGGGTTTTGAACCACTTTTGTCATTTTTGAACCCATTTTTGAGGGTTTTTGCTCTTTTTCCAGGGTTTTGAACCCATTTTCGGTTTGTAACCGTTTTTGTCATTTTTGAACCCATTTTCTGGGGATTTTGCCCCTTTCCCAGGGTTTTAAAGCCATTTTCCAGGGGTTTTTAACTATTTCTGTCATTTTTGAACCCATTTTCTGGGTTTTTTACCCCTTTCCCAGGGTTTTTAATCCAATTTCCAGGGGAGGCTTTGCCCCTTTTTCATGGTTTTTAAACCCATTTTCCTTTTTTTATTCCATTTCTGGCCATTTTTATGCTTTTAACCTCATTTTCCAGCTGTTTGGGTTTTTTTTTACCAATTCTCCAGGGATTTTAACCCTTTTTCTGGATATTTTTAGGGGTTTTTTTTTAATCCCTTTTCTAAAGTTTTTTGTTTTAATCCCTTTTTTTGCTTCTTTTGAGCGTTTTAACCCCATTTTCAGGGCGTTTTGCTGGTTTTTAGCCATTTCCCAGATATTAATGTGTGGGGGTTTTCAACCCTTTTTCCATTTGGTTTTTGTTTGTTTTTTTTTTTTAACCTTTTTCTGTTCCCCAGCACCCAGATGAAGAAGGTGATGCTGACGGTCTTTAAACACAACCACGGCGCCTACCAGTTCTTCCGAGAAGCGCTCCAGTAAGAGCTTTAAAAAACTCCTTTCCCAAAAAAAACCCCAGATTTCCTTGGTTTTACCCCATTTTTTGATATTTTTTCCCCCCTGGGGAGGGCGGGAGGGGGGTAGTTTGTCCGTCTGTAACACGTTGTTTTCGCACGACTGTCTTTGCAGTGCGCTGACAACGTGCCGGGGCCGGGACGGGGAAGGGGCAGCCGAGAGAGGTGGGTGATTTTGGGGGTGTCCCCCCCCCTCTCGGCGACAGGGCCCGGCCCGGGGAGGAGGGGGGGGAGGAAAAAAAGAGAGACTGACCCATTTCCGGGGGGATTTCACCCAATTTCGAAGGCTTTTGACCCTTTTTCCCCCATTCGGAGGGTTTTAAACACAGTTTTCCAAACGTTTCGCCCCTTTTGGGGGGGGTTTCACACTTTATGTATTTTTTTCCAATGAGTTTTGCCCCTTTTGAGGATTTTTTACGCTTTTATTCAAGGGGTTTTGCCCTTTTTTTAAAAAAAAAAAACCATTTTCCAGGGTTTTTTAACCAATTTTTAATCCATTTTCTGGGGATTATGTCCATTTTCTGGGGTTTTGAACCCATTTTCCAGTGGTTTGTAACTGTTTTTGTCATTTTTGAACCCCTTTTCTGGGGGTTTTGAACCCATTTTCTGGGGGCTTTGCCTGTTTTCTTGGGTTTTGAACCCATTTTCCAGGGATTTTTAACATCTTTTAATCCATTTTCTGGGGATTATGTCCATTTTCTGGGGCTTTGAACTGATTATTCCAGTGGTTTGTAACCGTTTTTGTCATTTTTGTACCCATTTTCAAGTGGTTTTGCTCTTTTTGTGGGGGCTTAGAACCCATTTTCAAGTGGTTTTTAACCGTTTTTGTCATTTTTGAACCACTTTTCTGGGGTGTTTTAACCCCTTTTCGGGGTTTTGCCTGTTTTCTGGGGTTTTGAACCCATTTTCCAGGGGTTTCTAACCATTTTTTAATCTGTTTTCTGGGGATTATGTCCATTTTCTGGGGCTTTGAACTGATTTTTCCAGGGGTTTGTAACCATTTTTTGTCATTTTTGAACCCCTTTTCTATGGGTTTTGAACCCATTTTCAGGGTTTTTGCCTGTTTTCTGCACAAACTGGACCATAAGAAGTTCCACCTAAAAATGAGGAAGAACTTCTTCATTTTGAGGGTGGCAGAGCCCTGGAGGAGGTTGCCCAAGGGGGGAGGTGGTGGAGTCTCCTTCTCTGGAGACATTCAAACTCCCCTTGGACACGTTCCTGTGGGTTGGAGGTTGGAGGAGATGATCTCCAGAAGTTCCTTCTCACCCCAAATCCTGAGATTTTGGTTTTTTGGGATTTTTTTTTTGTATTTATAAAATTATTTATTTTAAATCTGGACGTCTTCCCCGCAGCTACGAGGTGCAGCTGGAGAGCAGAGTGCGGCGGCGAGGTTTGGGCAAATTCCTCCTGCAGATCCTCCAGCTGGTGGCCAACAGGTGACCCGCCAAAGGGGGTGTTTTTTTGGGGTCAAAACGAGCGAGTTTGGGGGCCCGAGCACCCTTAGCTGAGCTTCCCTTCCCCAGCACCCAGATGAAGAAGGTGATGCTGACGGTCTTTAAACACAACCACGGCGCCTACCAGTTCTTCCGAGAAGCGCTCCAGTAAGAGCTTTAAAAAACTCCTTTCCCAAAAAAAACCCCAGATTTCCTTGGTTTTACCCCATTTTTTGATATTTTTTCCCCCCTGGGGAGGGCGGGAGGGGGGTAGTTTGTCCGTCTGTAACACGTTGTTTTCGCACGACTGTCTTTGCAGTGCGCTGACAACGTGCCGGGGCCGGGACGGGGAAGGGGCAGCCGAGAGAGGTGGGTGATTTTGGGGGTGTCCCCCCCCCTCTCGGCGACAGGGCCCGGCCCGGGGAGGAGGGGGGGGAGGAAAAAAAGAGAGACTGACCCATTTCCGGGGGGATTTCACCCAATTTCGAAGGCTTTTGACCCTTTTTCCCCCATTCGGAGGGTTTTAAACACAGTTTTCCAAACGTTTCGCCCCTTTTGGGGGGGGTTTCACACTTTATGTATTTTTTTCCAATGAGTTTTGCCCCTTTTGAGGATTTTTTACGCTTTTATTCAAGGGGTTTTGCCCTTTTTTTAAAAAAAAAAAACCATTTTCCAGGGTTTTTTAACCAATTTTTAATCCATTTTCTGGGGATTATGTCCATTTTCTGGGGTTTTGAACCCATTTTCCAGTGGTTTGTAACTGTTTTTGTCATTTTTGAACCCCTTTTCTGGGGGTTTTGAACCCATTTTCTGGGGGCTTTGCCTGTTTTCTTGGGTTTTGAACCCATTTTCCAGGGATTTTTAACATCTTTTAATCCATTTTCTGGGGATTATGTCCATTTTCTGGGGCTTTGAACTGATTATTCCAGTGGTTTGTAACCGTTTTTGTCATTTTTGTACCCATTTTCAAGTGGTTTTGCTCTTTTTGTGGGGGCTTAGAACCCATTTTCAAGTGGTTTTTAACCGTTTTTGTCATTTTTGAACCACTTTTCTGGGGTGTTTTAACCCCTTTTCGGGGTTTTGCCTGTTTTCTGGGGTTTTGAACCCATTTTCCAGGGGTTTCTAACCATTTTTTAATCTGTTTTCTGGGGATTATGTCCATTTTCTGGGGCTTTGAACTGATTTTTCCAGGGGTTTGTAACCATTTTTTGTCATTTTTGAACCCCTTTTCTATGGGTTTTGAACCCATTTTCAGGGTTTTTGCCTGTTTTCTGCGGTTTTGAACCCATTTTCCAGGGATTTTTAACCACTTTTTAATCCGTTTTCTGGGGATTATGTCCATTTTCTGGAGCTTTGAACCGGTCTCCTTCTCTGGAGACATTCAAACTCCCCTTGGACACGTTCCTGCCATTTTTCCAGGGGTTTTGAACCACTTTTGTCATTTTTTAACCCGAGGTTGGAGGAGATGATCTCCAGAAGTTCCTTCTCACCCCAAATCCTGAGATTTTGGTTTTTTGGGATTTTTTTTTTGTATTTATAAAATTATTTATTTTAAATCTGGACGTCTTCCCCGCAGCTACGAGGTGCAGCTGGAGAGCAGAGTGCGGCGGCGAGGTTTGGGCAAATTCCTCCTGCAGATCCTCCAGCTGGTGGCCAACAGGTGACCCGCCAAAGGGGGTGTTTTTTTGGGGTCAAAACGAGCGAGTTTGGGGGCCCGAGCACCCTTAGCTGAGCTTCCCTTCCCCAGCACCCAGATGAAGAAGGTGATGCTGACGGTCTTTAAACACAACCACGGCGCCTACCAGTTCTTCCGAGAAGCGCTCCAGTAAGAGCTTTAAAAAACTCCTTTCCCAAAAAAAACCCCAGATTTCCTTGGTTTTACCCCATTTTTTGATATTTTTTCCCCCCTGGGGAGGGCGGGAGGGGGGTAGTTTGTCCGTCTGTAACACGTTGTTTTCGCACGACTGTCTTTGCAGTGCGCTGACAACGTGCCGGGGCCGGGACGGGGAAGGGGCAGCCGAGAGAGGTGGGTGATTTTGGGGGTGTCCCCCCCCCTCTCGGCGACAGGGCCCGGCCCGGGGAGGAGGGGGGGGAGGAAAAAAAGAGAGACTGACCCATTTCCGGGGGGATTTCACCCAATTTCGAAGGCTTTTGACCCTTTTTCCCCCATTCGGAGGGTTTTAAACACAGTTTTCCAAACGTTTCGCCCCTTTTGGGGGGGGTTTCACACTTTATGTATTTTTTTCCAATGAGTTTTGCCCCTTTTGAGGATTTTTTACGCTTTTATTCAAGGGGTTTTGCCCTTTTTTTAAAAAAAAAAAACCATTTTCCAGGGTTTTTTAACCAATTTTTAATCCATTTTCTGGGGATTATGTCCATTTTCTGGGGTTTTGAACCCATTTTCCAGTGGTTTGTAACTGTTTTTGTCATTTTTGAACCCCTTTTCTGGGGGTTTTGAACCCATTTTCTGGGGGCTTTGCCTGTTTTCTTGGGTTTTGAACCCATTTTCCAGGGATTTTTAACATCTTTTAATCCATTTTCTGGGGATTATGTCCATTTTCTGGGGCTTTGAACTGATTATTCCAGTGGTTTGTAACCGTTTTTGTCATTTTTGTACCCATTTTCAAGTGGTTTTGCTCTTTTTGTGGGGGCTTAGAACCCATTTTCAAGTGGTTTTTAACCGTTTTTGTCATTTTTGAACCACTTTTCTGGGGTGTTTTAACCCCTTTTCGGGGTTTTGCCTGTTTTCTGGGGTTTTGAACCCATTTTCCAGGGGTTTCTAACCATTTTTTAATCTGTTTTCTGGGGATTATGTCCATTTTCTGGGGCTTTGAACTGATTTTTCCAGGGGTTTGTAACCATTTTTTGTCATTTTTGAACCCCTTTTCTATGGGTTTTGAACCCATTTTCAGGGTTTTTGCCTGTTTTCTGCGGTTTTGAACCCATTTTCCAGGGATTTTTAACCACTTTTTAATCCGTTTTCTGGGGATTATGTCCATTTTCTGGAGCTTTGAACCGATTTTTCCAGGGGTTTTGAACCACTTTTGTCATTTTTTAACCCATTTTTGAGAGTTATTGCTCTTTTTCCAGAGTTTTGAACCCATTTTCCAGTGGTTTGTAACCATTTTTTGTCATTTTTGAACCCATTTTCTGGGGGTTTTGCCCCTTTTCTGGGGTTTTTTAACCCCTTTTCGGGGTTTTGCCTGTTTTCTGGGGTTTTGAACCCATTTTCCAGGTTTTTTTAACCATTTTTAAATCAATTTTCTGAGGATTATGTCCGTTTTTTGGGGCTTTGAACCCATTTTTCCAGGGGTTTTGAACCACTTTTGTCATTTTTGAACCCATTTTTGAGGGTTTTTGCTCTTTTTCCAGAGTTTTGAACCCATTTTCCAGGGCTTTTAAACTATTTCTGTCATTTTTGAACCCATTTTCCAGGGGTTTTTAACTATTTCTGTCATTTTTTAACCCATTTACAAGGGGTTTTGCCCCTTTTCTGGGGTTTTTGAACCCATTTTCAGGGTTTTGCCTGTTTTCTGGGGTTTTGAACCCATTTTCCAGGGTTTTTTAGCCATTTTTTAATCCATTTTCTGGGGATTATGTCCATTTTCTGGGCCTTTGAACCCATTTTTCCAGGGGTTTTGAACCACTTTTGTCATTTTTGAACCCATTTTTGAGGGTTTTTGCTCTTTTTCCAGGGTTTTGAACCCATTTTCGGTTTGTAACCGTTTTTGTCATTTTTGAACCCATTTTCTGGGGATTTTGCCCCTTTCCCAGGGTTTTAAAGGTTTTCTGGGGTTTTGAACCCATTTTCCAGGTTTTTTTAACCATTTTTAAATCAATTTTCTGAGGATTATGTCCGTTTTTTGGGGCTTTGAACCCATTTTTCCAGGGGTTTTGAACCACTTTTGTCATTTTTGAACCCATTTTTGAGGGTTTTTGCTCTTTTTCCAGAGTTTTGAACCCATTTTCCAGGGCTTTTAAACTATTTCTGTCATTTTTGAACCCATTTTCCAGGGGTTTTTAACTATTTCTGTCATTTTTTAACCCATTTACAAGGGGTTTTGCCCCTTTTCTGGGGTTTTTGAACCCATTTTCAGGGTTTTGCCTGTTTTCTGGGGTTTTGAACCCATTTTCCAGGGTTTTTTAGCCATTTTTTAATCCATTTTCTGGGGATTATGTCCATTTTCTGGGCCTTTGAACCCATTTTTCCAGGGGTTTTGAACCACTTTTGTCATTTTTGAACCCATTTTTGAGGGTTTTTGCTCTTTTTCCAGGGTTTTGAACCCATTTTCGGTTTGTAACCGTTTTTGTCATTTTTGAACCCATTTTCTGGGGATTTTGCCCCTTTCCCAGGGTTTTAAAGCCATTTTCCAGGGGTTTTTAACTATTTCTGTCATTTTTGAACCCATTTTCTGGGTTTTTTACCCCTTTCCCAGGGTTTTTAATCCAATTTCCAGGGGAGGCTTTGCCCCTTTTTCATGGTTTTTAAACCCATTTTCCTTTTTTTATTCCATTTCTGGCCATTTTTATGCTTTTAACCTCATTTTCCAGCTGTTTGGGTTTTTTTTTACCAATTCTCCAGGGATTTTAACCCTTTTTCTGGATATTTTTAGGGGTTTTTTTTTAATCCCTTTTCTAAAGTTTTTTGTTTTAATCCCTTTTTTTGCTTCTTTTGAGCGTTTTAACCCCATTTTCAGGGCGTTTTGCTGGTTTTTAGCCATTTCCCAGATATTAATGTGTGGGGGTTTTCAACCCTTTTTCCATTTGGTTTTTGTTTGTTTTTTTTTTTTAACCTTTTTCTGGGTGTTTTTATCCCTTTTCCCACCCATTTTTGGAGCATTTTTTAATCCCATTTTTACCTTTTCCACCCCATTTTTGGGGGCAATTTGAACCTTTTAACCCCCATTTCCGGGCTTTTTTAATTCTTCAACCCCTCCCCAACTTCTTCTTAACCCTTTCCCAGCTACATTTTTGGGTGATTTTACCCTTTTTTGCCTATTTTCCCTCCCCCCCCCAGCCAGAGGAGGTGACACCA